CAGAAACACTCAGACAATCGTCTAGTTAGTGTTTACATGCTCAATCGACAACCCTAGTGAAAACCTTCATGAAAGATTTACTAACTTTTGTATTCTCCTTGTGGGCCTTGCAGTTCTTGACTTCTGCCTCTCCTCCGGGGTCTCCTCCATCTGAGTACCAAGCCTCCTTGTCTCTACCATGGAGTCTGTGCCTCCTGTGAACCCTCACCTTAAACCCCTCACCTGCAAATCTTTCAATAACCAAAAATCATCAACTCAGCCTTAGTGTTGACCTGCACTCTCCAACTGGTCTACTCACCTGATAACTGTCGTTCTCTCAATCCTGGAACCCTCCTCTTCAAGCCTGCAAGCAACAATGACACAGTAAGAAAAAAAACTATTACTCTGCTAAAACATCATTTCTGAGGAATTATACTCACCATCTCCTGCCTTGTGCAGATACTCCTGACTCAATAATGAACCTAGATTTGTAAATAAACCACTTTTATTATTTGTCCACAGGTCTCTTGGTTTTTAATATTTTGAACTCTGGGTTTAGAAAAGATCATCATTACTAATAAATGACAAAATGATGCAAAATAAGTGTAGCATTTAGTTAAAACTATTTTAATAATGCAATAAACTATTCTCATGTCTACTTTAATCAGTAGCAATGACATGTGTTTGGCATTGTCCAATAATTTGTAGCAGATATAAAAATAGCCAAAATAAGAGTTCATTAAAATAATTGTTTTTCAACAAACTTTGTCATGTCTGTGTATTTTAAAGTTTTTAGATTTGGTGTTGTCATTATTATTATTATTATTATTATTACTATTTATTATCATTTGAATTACTGTTGCAGGGTTGAACACTCGTTTTACATTCCTCATATGGGCACATTGTTGCAACTGCTTGCCTAAAAATGTTAGGAATGCGTGTCAAATTTTAAATTGTGTATTTTGTCACTTGGTAAAATATTTTAACTACTCCCTGTTGCATATTTAAAATAAAGACCAGCAGGTAGATGTATGCTCATGGATAAAGGTGGGATAATGCTAAGAAATGGGATGACACTTCCTCCCACCTGCAAAGACCCCCCGTTATTCAAGTTCAACTTCAAGTTGTGTTTATTTGTCGTATACAAGGTTAACACAATGTTAACAGTACAATGAAATGCTTAGGATGAGAAGGATCGATTTGACTCACTAAAAAAATCAAAGAACAAACAAACAAGAAATACTAAAAGCATGCAATAAGGGCACCAAAATAAAGTACCAAAAAGTGAAAAAGTAATTATATTATTTACAAGGTCCAAAAGAGAGATGGTAAACAACAACATGGTGGAAGATAACGGTGCAAGCAGGATGAATTTGAATGAATAAATATTTCAAGGTAGGAATATATGTTGGTTCACTGATAAGAAATGGCCCTTAATATATACAAAGAACA